GGACTGCCAGAGCGGGGAGCGCCGGCTGTGGGGCCTGTGCGGGGCAAGGCAGCCCTGTCCTGGGGTTGTGGCACCCCGAGGGCGGTCGGGTGTTGCCGCTGTTTTTCCCCGGTGCCCGGTTTGTTCTGCGATGCCTTCAGCAGCAGAGCAGGTGGGGAAGGGAGGGCTGAAGGTTGTGGGCAGACGCTAAGAGGTGGTGGTGTGGTAACTGAAGCATCACCCCTGCAGCCCGAGTGGGAAAGAGGTGTGAAACAACAGCCGAATAGCTATGAAATGTCAGCCAAGTGCTTTATTCTTATTGCTGGCAATACTGAAAATAGCTGTAATGCTGAGGTGCTTCAAGATGTCGTGAAAGTTGTTACATGTGGCATAATGAAGTGCTTGCATAGCACTTCATTAATCACAAGTCTCGTGCTTACTTCCCTTGTAGTTCATCTGAAACTGGATGAAAGAAGAGAATGGATATGGGTAACCAACACCCATCCATAAAACGGTTGCATGAAATACAGAAGGAAGTCAAAGAGATTGAACAGCAAGTGGCAGTCTTCAGTGGTCTGTCTACTGATCGAGATTACAAGAAATTAGAAAGGAGCCTTACTAAACAGCTTTTTGAAATAGATTCTGTAGACACCGAAGGAAAGGGGGATATTCAGCAAGCCAGAAAACGAGCTGCTCAGGAAACAGAGAGGCTGCTTAAGGAACTGGAACAAAATGCAAACCATCCGCGCAGACTGGAAATAGAGGCTATATTCAAGGAGGCACAGTCACTTGTGGAACGTGAGATTACGCCTTTTTACAAAGGAGGTAACTGTATAAGTGACGAATTTGAAGAAGGTATTCAGGACATTGTATTGAGGCTTACCCAGGTGAAAACTGGAGGGAAAGTTTCTCTACGCAAAGCAAGATATCGCACTCTGACAAAAGTATGTGCTGTTCAGGAGATTATAGAAAGCTGTGTAAAGCAACAGCTGTCCCTGCCACTCTCTAATGATGCGCATCCTTCTGTCTCCAAAATTAACTCTGTAATGTGTGATGTGAACAAAGCAAGAGGAACTCTTATTGCGCTTCTAATGGGAGTGAGTAGTAATGATACCTGCAGGCATCTCTCCTGTGTGCTTACAGGCCTCATTGCTGATTTGGATGCTTTAGATGTCTGTGGTCGCACGGAAATAAGAAATTACAGAAAGGAAGTAGTGGAAGAGATCAATAAATTGCAGAAATACCTGGACTTGGAAGAAGAAGCAAATTCTACTCACGCTTACGATTTGGCACAAAATCAGTCCATTCTAAAAATAGAAGAGATCCGCAAGAAAATGAAGGAAGTTAATTCTTTACTTTCAAAAACAGAGAATGCTTCTGATTTGTATTTGGGATCCAAAGCAGAATTGCAGGGATTAATTGCCCACTTAGATGAGGTGAGTCCAGGAAAAAACCCCTGTATTAGAGAAGCCAGGAGAAGAGCAGTAATAGAAGTTCAAACTCTTATAACGTATATTGATTTGAAGGAAGCGCTTGAAAAAAGGCAAATGTATCCTGAGCAAACTGCTGCCGAACATCAGTCTCATAAAGCAGTTTGGACTGTTCTTGGAAACTTGTCTCAAATTCAATTGATGGAAACAGAACAGATAAAAATTACATGAGATTGGAAGAACTTCTTACGAAACAACTTCTAGCACTTGATGCTGTTGATCCACAAGGCGACGAGCGGTGTAAGGCTGCCAGAAAGCAAGCGGTAAAGCTTGCACAGAATATTCTTTACTATCTGGACATGAAAACAGATGAATGGGAGTACTGAAACAGCCATGGCCTAACATAGAAGAACGTTTTTTCCTTTGGCACTTTATGCAGACCATTGGCAGCACGTAATAAAAGTGGTGTGTTCTGTGCTTGCTTAAATCATGGAGATTGCATAAGCAGTTGACTTGGCTATATGTCTGCTATCCCACGCAGTCACCCACTTGCCATGGCAACTGTCAGTATACCATCAGCAATTCTGGTCATTGCTATAAGCAAGGAAGTGTGATTTTCTGAAGGAATAGCTTAACACTTGATGAATAGCTTCTTTCCTTTTCCTGTTTTGTTTTAATAACTTTGTGCAATGTTCAGTGAATGCAGATTTTTCAAAGATGCAGAAACTTCCTTATGGTACAGTACTGGCAAAACTATTTAAAGAAGACTGGACCTGAAAATTAGTATTCAAGCATGAGGCTCCATTGAGCAATTTCACAGCCGCCTGGGTATACACTTAATGTGTTGTTACAACAGAAGGTATTAAGTGCAAAAAACCTGTTGGCTTTTGGGTTGTACTTGATTTATTCCATCCATCACACCTTTCTGGGTATTTAGATTTCTCACTTAATGGAGCTATAATGCCAGCTGCAAATTAGCATTTACACAGGTAAAGCCAATTATGTCTATTTTTTGTAATACCTGAACCCTCTGGTTTGCAAAAACAGGTCTTCTGTTGGTGGAAACTATTTCAAATTGTTGCTTTTACTGAGACTCGGAGAGGAAAATCTGTACATATATACTGACCAGATAAATGGGATTTTGAGAATTTCACACTGCCATCCATAAACCCCTGAAAACTGCACTGAACTTTATTTAATGGCTGCTTAGGTGTCTTTTTAACCTCTGCTGTTAGATCTGGTTTTGACTTGTCTTTTCACATTTGGTGAAAACAGAAACAGAATTCACTTTGACGTGAACAAGCATTTTGGAATTATTTTTGTAAAATTGGGTAGTTAGCTATAAAGATGTCCCTAATGATGTAAATTTCATACTGGTCAGGTGTGGCTTCAAGCATGTCTTGGAAAAGACTTGTGGCAAATGTCTCTCCTTGCAACTCATCACCTAATTGTTTTAGTAACTTTGTAAATAAGCTTGCTTGTACTGTTGTATGCACCTACCTTTTTATTTGTGGCTGCTAGTGCCAATCACATTTCTACTATAGCATGGTTTTTGGCATTTTTTTGAGAGCATGGCATTAAACCGAATTAATTATAAAGATATATTTAATTATGGATACTTTGCACTTCGCTCTTTCATGTTGAATTAATGAGTTATTGTTCTGTAGATGATGATTTGCACCACTTCAAGGAGTAAAAACCATTTCGGGTGTTAAAATAAATATTTTTAGATCTATTTTTGTCTGATTAGAAAAGACAATACTGTCTGTGAGAGACAAGTGCCTTTATGACACCACTAACTTGCACCGTCTTATGTAGATACAGGAACTGTTTACTGGCAGCTTGATAGGCTTATAGTCTTTGCAAACTGGATTTCTCACATAGATATAATTCTACTATAATATATGTCAAGTTAACATCATATAATAGGTGACAGTTGTTCTACAGAGTCCTGAGAATGAGTATAAAATTTGGGAAATACAGATTCTGCTTAAAAATGAATGTATTGATGTGGAGATGGGGGACTTTGGGCAGGTCTTCTGCGCCTATTGCTACAAGAAGGAGAGAATAGGTTTGCTCCATAACGTGCTTTGAGATGTTGATGAAAGGCTGTGTAACTTCAGGGTGTGAATATGTTTTGTTTGTGATTGTACAGGTGATTGCTTTGCAATTTTACTTGCCAAAAACAATCTATTTTTTCAATTAATTAAGTACAGCGCCTAAGGCACAATTTGGCAATGACAGAATGTTTGTTGGAGGATTCTCTCTGCTCCTTCCGAGATACAGCCCTGTTGAATTTATCTCTCCTTGCCTCAAAAAATCATCTCTTCTAGTTAAACTTCCGATCTATATTTATATATTACGTGGCTAACACAGAATTTTAATAATGTTATTCACCTGAATTATTTTACTCATTTCAACCTTTCTACATGTTTGAACTGCAACTTCTGATTTGCACTTACATTTTTTAGGAAATACAAGAATTTGATAGTGTAATGATACTCATTTTTCTTTAATATTACTGTCAGGTCTGCAGTGGTTACCCGTAGATTGTTAAACAATTTAGTGTCCGTGTTCTCTGGAGGTTACGTGTAGCTTTATAAATGTTTCAACCTGTTACATAAAAATGAGTGAGTATAGTTTTCAGATCTGTTCTATTTTAAATTGGTATGTCTTTTAGCTTTTCTGAATGAATTGTTATGCCTGTGTCTCTAAGGAGGCAAATGTGTAAGGTTAGTGTAATTTTGACTGAGTAGAGTTCAGTAGCAAGATATTGTGTGGATTAAGCTTTTTTCCACTGTTCTATAATCTAATAAATTGACTATTTAATTTTTATGGTAAAATACTCATCTGAAATGGGATTAATTCACAGTTTTTGCATGAATGAAAATAATAAACTAAATCTGCTTAATCAAAAAAATAATGCACAGATTTCTCAAAATCTTGCTTTTGTGCTAAAGAATATAATTTTTCTGATTTTTATATCCAAAGATTGAGGGACACACAACTTTTCTTTCCAATACGGTAGGCTAAAATAATCAAAATGTAAATGGACCAAATTTCAAAAGCCTGCATTTTACTGCTATACTGAAATATAGTAACTTTTCTGTGTGCTGTGTAATCTATCTTAGAGCAAAATAAATTATTGGATATTCAGAGGAGAGGTAATCCTACATCGTGATTCCTATTTGTTAATTTATTTCTTTTTAAACTAGTTTTCTTTAGTTATGTCAGTGTTTATTTTTGTTGTTTACCACTCAAAGTGGTTTTTCTGTTACCAGTTTGGAGATTTTTGTTAAGTATGGTTCCTACTTTTTCAATTTAACAGAAATCAGTGTATGTGCTCCTTATGGTGTATATGTCTTGAATTAATGCTGTGTAGGATATGTCATTTGTATATACAAATTCAAGATTAAATATTGCAGTGTTACATTCTTGATTATTAATAAAAATACAATACTACCTTTTACTAGGTATTCATTTGAATGTTATGCCCTGCTGCCTTTCTCTATTTTTGAATGTGAGTTATCAGAATGTAAATGATTTTTGTCTTAGAAAAAGTGTTTTTATTAAACATACAGACATAAAGCTCTTTTTTTTTTCTTCCTTTAAAAGTTTGCTTTTTCACTGCTGTATTTATGACAATAAAGTTCTCTGTGTGGAAACCACTCCTAGCTCTACTTGCTAAATCTAGTGCCTTCCTGTTTTCTCTGCATCCAGCCTTGCCTTATAATAATTACATCAGTCGCTTGCATTCTTCCTTCAGCAATAGCTTTGCATACTCCTGGGCTTCAGCTGGATGATTGCTGCAAAAATGCTTGTGACTGTTTTGAGATCTTGCCACTTTTCTGTTGAAGGATGCTGCCTTAACGGATGAGCTTGCAAAACTGATGGTATGAAGTCTCTTCATGTGCAAAGTCAATGTGGATTGAAGAGCCTTTAGTAGGAGTTAAACTAATCTGGTTTTAAACTGTGTAGATGAGGCATGTTCACATGATTGTTCTGATGGCTCAGGATGTTTTCTCAAGATGCAGTGAGCCAAGTTACCAGCTCACTGCTGATGGAAATCAGAAATTCTATTTCTGTCCAGAAAGCCGCTGGCTTTGTGCAGTTTATGCTGCTTGGCCAACTCCCATGAGCTGATTTAATCCAATAAAACAGGAGAAAACAAACTCAACAAAAATGGAAGAGGGAGTTTTCTGTGGGTTTAGTGAGTGAAATTGGCTTGTAGAAAAGCTTTGTGGGGGCCAGAGCTACTGCAAAATGAATGGATGGGTCTTGATCATGGGTTAGGGAGCAGATTTTAAGATTTTCAGTAGCAGTACATCATTAGATCAACCTGCATAGTTAAATTTCTGGATGAGAAAGAAGGACAAGGTGGCACTATCAACTCCTACAGACAAGTAGGAATTTCCTGCATTAGTAATGGAATATGATGAGGGGAATACAAATGAATCCTGCACAGAAAATAAACCACTTGCTTTCAATTGCTCTTCTGTGTTACACAGTAAGTGTTCATGCAATAGAAAGCACAGGTGGTTGTGTTGAAATACAATCTGCAAAACATTGGTTAAGAGCAAGATTTATAAAGGTTGAATGTTGTTATAGGTAACAAGTTCATGGTATCTTCTTTCTCTCCCTTTTAACAATATAGCTTATTTGAAGGAAATACATTCTTCAAAGACCAGTAAATCATCTGGGCAATGGCCCTAGGTGTTGCTGAGCTAGCTGCTGACCTGTTTGTCTTGATCAGCTGTTTACTCGTCAAAGGAGAGAATTTGCTTTTGGTGAGAATTTTTTTGAGTGTGTTTGGGACAGGCAGATTTTTAGTGCCTGAAATGGTTTAGCTGGAAAAACTGTATTTTATTTCCATATAGGCGTATCCTTTCCTTTGGAGAATTCTCAGCTGAGAACTTCTGAAGGAGTAGAAGAACTTTAGTACTGAACTCATGGATTGAAGGCCCCGGGGGTTTAAGGTGGCTGCATGTATTTGTTGGCTGGTCTGGATATCATTCTGTTTTGCTACATGAAACAATAACGCACATAATGCTTTCAGTTATATTAGTAGGCGTGTCCATGTCAGCTGAAAGCTGGTCATTAACTGAAGAAGCTGAGGATGAGGTGTGCTTTTGTTGAGGGCTTTGCACAATGCTTATCCTTTCTCTCTGCAGTGTTTGGTTCTGAGGACTGCCAAACACAGATGAATGCATGACTTGCACTAGTTGTCAGCTCAAAAATAATGAGGATCCTTTCTAAGTCTGCAAACTCTTCCTACAGGACATAAATTGTAGCAAAGTTTGCCATTAGAAATGAAAAGTACAATGAGTTTCTTAATTGGGCCATTTCTCCTGAATTAGTTTTGCCAGACAGGCCTCTGCACCACAGGAGTTCTTTGTGAAACCTGTATTTCAGGCAGCTAATCAAAAGCATCTCACAAGGGAAGAAACACAATGATGCAGTGCTACGTCCTTCATAAGGTCCTGTCTT